TTAAGGTGAAGGTGTATATTACCTATCTGTTGCCCCACCCTTAAGTTACCCCTTAGTTCACCCCTTAATTCACCCTTTAATACCCCTTAGTTCACCCCCTTAGTTCGCTCTTTAATTTATTCTTTAATATCGCTTTCATACCTCTTAATGCACCCCTTAAGTTACCATTTAGTTTACCCTTTAATACCCCTTAATACAGCGCTTGTGTTATCCCTTAGTACACCCCTTAATTCACCCTTTAACACCCTTAGTTCACCCCTTAGTTCACACCTTGATTTACCCTTTAATATATCTTTAATACCTCTTAATTCACCCCTTAAGTTTCCATTTAATTCACCTCCCTTTAGTTTGCCCTTTAGTTTACCCCTTTAGTTTACCCTTTAGTTCACCCCTTTAGTTTACCCTTTAACACCCTTAAAGTAGTGCAGTACATTATCACTTCTGACCCTCCTCTCCTCTCCCCTCCTGACCTCCCCCTGCACCTGACCTCCCTTCCCCACACTTGATATCCCCCCCTCCTGAACAACCCCCTCCTTCACCTGTCTTCCCCTCCTTGATCTCCTCCTTCCCCTGACACCCCCCCCCGCCGCTTCCGGTTGACTTGACCCTGTACTACCATTCACTCCCTCACCCTCCCTCCTCCTTCACCTCCTCGTTGCCCACCACCCTCTCCACCTACCCTTCTTGGCCATTTTGCCCCCCCTCCCCCCTCTCGGTGGTGGTGGATCCGCGACGTAAGTTACGAAAGTAGTGGACCTGTTTAAGGGGAGACTGCGGGTCAAACCCCGACATTGACGTCCCCATCTCTCTCCCCCTGACCTGACCACCCCTGACCTGGCTTGAGGCTTGAACCTAAGTCTTAGAAGGAAGTTGAATCTTTTAGCTACATCATGGTATAGGGTAATGTAGGGATAAATAGGGAGAAAAGGGAGGAAATAGGGTGAGTTAAGGGAGGGTGTGTGAGGGCAGGTGTGTGTGGTGGTAGTCTGCTCAACAGGGAGAGGCCGAGACACCACACCCAGACTGGCGCCACTCACCCAGCCCACCCTCCTCCTCCTCCTCCTCCTCCTCCTCCTCCTCCTCCTCCTCCTCTTCTCCTCCTCCTCCTCCTCCTCCTCCTCCCACGCAACCCCTCCTCCTCCTCCTTCTTCTCCTCCTCTTCCTTCGTTCCATTAAAGATAGTCTTCCTCTTCCTCCTTCCCATATCAATTACATCTTCCTCTTCCTCCTCCTCCTTTTCCTCCTCTTACAGCAAAACATCTTCGTCCTCCTCTCTCCTCCACCTCTTCTTCCTCACAGCATCAACAACTTCCCCTCCCTCCTCCTCATCTTCCTCCCCTCCTCCCAATAGCTTCTACACCCTCTTCCTCCTCCTCTCTTCCTTCCCCTCCTCCTCATAGCCTCTCACCCTCTTCCTCCTCCTCCTCTTCCTCCTTAGCCTCTACACCCCTCTTCCTCCTCCTCCTCTTCCTCCCCCCTCCTCCTCCCTCCTCTCCCCTCTTCCTCCTCCTACAGCCTCAATATCCCTCACCCTCCTCCCCCCCTCCTCCTCAGCCTCTACACCCTCTTCCTCTTTACAGCAGTTACATCTTCCTCTTCCTCCTCCTCTTCTTCCTCCTTACAGCAGTTACTCCTTCCTCTTCCTCCTCCTTCTTCTTCTTATCCTTTTATTGTCCTCTTCCCTTTCTTCTTCTTCTTCTTCTTCTTCTTCTTCTTAACACCTGTAATAGATCTTAAATTAACAGGTGTCAATATTGTTATTTGTGATACTGTTATTGTTATTATTATTATTATTATTATTATTATTATTATTATTATTATTATTTGTATTATTGCCACCTGTTATCAACTACCACCACCTGTCATCAGATATCATAGGCTGCCACCAGAAGTCGCTAAACTCCACTGGCTGCCACCATTTGCCACCAATTGCTCCTGGCTGCCACCAAATGCCACTGGCTGACAGCAAATGCCATTGGCTGACAGCAAATGCCACTGGCTGTCACCAATTCCCACCAAATGCCACCAGCTGCCATCACTGGCCGCCAAACACCACAACACCTGGAGCCCGGAGAGCTACTACCCCCCTCTCCTCCCTCAGGGCCTACCTCAGGTGATGGCTCGTAAAACAGAGAGCAAGTTGCTTCCAGACCCGCAGTACAGAGTGGAAGGTCGCCTTGCGTTATTACAGCGGGGAGACACAAGGCCGCCTATACAGTGTTCCGGCACCTGTTGTGAAGCCCGTCGCTGTTCTTGTGTTTTAATCGCTTTGTTTATGTCCGTGTGTTTAACCCATTCAGAGGCATATGTTATAACAACTGGGTCACACTTCTACACCTTGACTGGGTGTAGAGGTAGTTTATTTTCTATTTATTGGTGGTTGTAGGACAGGTAGACAAAGGAGTGGTGATAGCGAGGCCAGGTGGTGAATCAACCGACGGCAAGAAAAATCAGAATGATTAGCTAGAGACTGGCTGCAGGTGCAAAGCAGCGTCATTCTCCAGCTGGCGTCCAGACCATGACAATAACCCGTCTGTAGTTTTTTTCCATCCCGACCATACTTGTACCTTCACTATACCATTACTCGTCACTAAAACTCCTGAAATGTATCAATAAATCCAGATGGTAGTTGTAAATACTATAAGGTTAACGAAGGAGGGAAATATAGGTCGACTCTTTTTTAAAATTCTGCTAAGACCCGGTGAGCAGCCTGGAGCCCTTATCGTGAGCACGTGGTGACGCTGGTAACGGTGTGTGTGTGTGTGTGTGTGTGTGTGTGCTTTTTTATGTTACCTGAGCGACGACCAGGTGACTCCCAGCTCCTGCCCCTCAGGGCTTGATTTACCTGCCGCCTCCTCCACCACCAGGAGAAATCTGAGGCAGGAATGTGTCTAGTTACCGCGGTTGTGGGATAAAACCTAACCTAACCTCCCTTAACCTCACAGACCAACCTATCCCAACCTACCGTAACCTGCCATATACTCACAGTCTAACCTAACCTAATTCAACACACAAAGTAGCCAACAATGCACTCACTCGACCCCCTTCACTTCCCCACCTGGAATTATTAGATGCTTGTTGACACTCTCACAGCTGGGTAAACTCAGGGTGTTCCGGATACAAGCCAGCGAGCATTAAGACTGGAGACAGGTGTTATTATATTTCAAATGTGAGAGATGCTCCTGTACTCTAAGAGATGCTCCTGTATTCTGAGAGATGCTCCTGTATTGAGAGATTCTCCTGTATTCTGAGAGATGCTCCTGTACTCTAAGAGATGCTCCTGTATTCTGAGAGATGCTCCTGTACTCTGGGAGATGCTCCTGTATTTTGAGAGATGCTCCTGTACTCTGAGAGATGCTCCTGTATTCTGAGAGATGCTCCTGTACTCTGAGAGATGCTCCTGTATTCTGAGAGATGCTCCTGTACTCTGAGAGATGCTCCTGTATTCTGAGAGATGCTCCTGTACTCTGAGAGATGCTCCTGTACTCTGAGAGATGCTCCTGTACTCTGAGAGATGCTCCTGTACTCTGAGAGATGCTCCTGTACTCTGAAAATGATAAAATTCCCTCAAAAAGTATTATTTATGTAAACAAACCCAAGATGGCCACTATGAAAACACGGGTCTCAGACTATGTAAGGAGATTCGCTCTGTTATTAATTCGTATCCAACTTGGAAACAGAGTAGTGGATGAATGGAATAAGTTACCAAATATTATCATTAACTCGAATACTCTGGATAAGTTCAAACATAGGTTGGATGCTTATATGAGCAATAGGGGTTGGGTATAAACGGGACTGCCCAGTATGGGTAAATAGGCCCGCTGCAGTTTCCTCCATTCTTATGTTCTTATATTCTTATGTTGTGATCTCTAATATCTCTTGGATTCTCCCGCGATATGTACAACATTACAAGAGGAGTAAGGAGGCGTAATCACGTGTCTCAGTGTAATGAAGGTGAATCTTGCTAGTAAACTAATATTACTTATTCGATGATCTTACAGGTGGCCCATCCCTCATAAGGGTTTACGAGAGTGTGATCCTCCCCACATGCAGTACTATCACTTTGTTTTCTCCCAAGATATGTTAAAGACGCCAATTGACTGAGAACGCCCATTGAGGACAATGAAACTACTTCCGACACTTAGGCATTTCACGTATAGTATTAAGAGATGTTAGAACGTCAACAGGGTTGATTTAATATAAGTTTATAAGCGCTTCAAAGGACATTACTTAGGCATGTGTGAATATCTGGAGTTAAGGGAGGACCACTCCACTAGAGGTGACAGCTAAAGTTAAAAAAAAAGTTACAAGTACAAAAAACTACCAAAGCGACTTCCTGAGAGTAGAGTTGTGAACACTTGAAATAACCTGCCAGATAATGTTGTGACAGGATCAAGTGCATCCACTTTTCAGTCCACCTTGGTGGTGCAACGGTAACACGTGGGTGACGTGGATATCTCACTACCATGTCATGGGTTAGAGTTCAGGACACACGTGAAAAATGGTGTTATCCAATGTGACCCTTTCAAACATTACAGGTTTGCTTCTGTACTACATTGGAGAATAAAGTTCATAACAAAGAACAGACCAGTCGCCTAAATGGTTCGTAAGGTTAAATGATAAATAAAACAAGATACAAAAATGTCTAATAGCATCTGACTGTAAACCTTTGCAATAGGTTTATAAATAAGTTCTAGGAATGTATAATGTATGTAGGTGAGATTAAAGAGAGAGACAAAAAGAGAGAGAGCAAAAGGAAGAAAGGAGGGAAATTTATTTAAGTTACCCATAAAAACATTAGTTTTCTATGGATTACGTATGAGAGAAAACTGATTAAAATCTTATTTACAGTACTGTATCTCTATTTTCAATAATTCACCAATCTACTCATCATTAAACATTCCCTATATATATAAAATAACCTTAATATAAAACTTCGCAAAGTAATTAAGCTACAAACGAGGTAAAACCCCCTCATTGAGCGATAACACCCAGCTGTCTCACCCCGACACACTCAGTCATCACCATCTTTGTTGTGGTTAAGCACCTCGCTCTTCACGGGATTTTGCGAGATTTCGAGGTAACATGACTCGTTGGTGGGCCTTTTGACAACATAATTTCCACTATAAGTTTATTAATACCTGTCTGTCGCTCTAATGACTCAATATTACATGTTGGCGTTGAAAATATGTGTATTACAGACGTTATTAGTCTCCTCCTAGTCAAAATCGATGGCCCAAGACCTGAGTTCTGGTAATATGTTTATTCCCATATTAGTGGCCTTTATCATGTCCCTTTTTATAATTTATATGTTAAGGAAATTTAGGTTTGTTTCTCCTATATTATGCCGGTGCTATGTATTAGGAAAGTAGTCTCTTATGGTGTATTTTTAGATAATTATTCAGTCTGGGGGAGGAGGAGGATGCGGTCGCCACTTTAATTCCTTGTACTGTATAATTTAAAGAGCTTACCACTTACATGTTTTTCTTAGGATTAGGATTGGTTAAATTGACTTACTGTTTGCCCATGATTGTATACCTGCACTGTCAATATACATGATGAACCACTGTAAACTCGTATAGTTATTTTAATGAGTGAACATTTATCTATCTGTCTATCTTACAGGCTGGAGAGACGGCTGAGCATAATGGGGGAGGAGAGTGAGGATGAATATGATGACTCGACCTCACTTCCCCCACTCAAACGCATCTGTGTCACGCAAATGGATCTTCTGAACCATTTGTTGACCGAGGTAAGCTACTAATTAACAGAGTTTTAGAGTATGTGCTGCTAATGAGAACCTATCAACCAAAAAGTAGGTGGTTACAGTGCTTGAGGTCATGTTTTAGAAGCAGACTGTGGTAGTCAAGCCAGCCAAACCTGTACATAAATAAACCTAATTTATTGTAGTATTGTTAGGTTAGGTTGATTCTAAACAAATGTGGAAGGTGACTGGTGACAAGTAGTCCACCATTTATCAAGAATTATTTGACTGTTATAATTACATGCTGTCGTTTTAAATGAATGTAGATGGTGATCTGCTGAACTGTAAGAAAAACTGAACTAATACTTTATAATCTCACTGTTGATAATATGAAAATACTTAACAGATATGAACTTTTACTCACATATGTCGGATATTACCTAATGCGTTTTGTTTTTCAGGTTACCGAAATCAAAACCTGTATGAACACCCGCCTTACCTCACTGGAGACAAAGGTTTCTGTGTTGGTACAAACCTGCAACAGAATATCCTCCAAGTTGGAAACAATCGAGCGGCTCGTTGGGAAACAACCAGAACAGAATGCGTGAGATGATCCTTTTTTTCCCTCATTGTTGGTGGAATCTTAACTCATACTTTATTCTACTTTACTTCTTTATTTATCCTCTTCACCACTTGTCATCTTGCCAGTAGGTCAGTTATCTGTTACAAACTGTGGTGTAATGGTCAGCATGCTCGTCTCACAAGCGAGTGGATCCGGGTTCGATCCCCGAGCAGGGTGAAACTATAGGCAAGTTTCTTTGTGCCATTTGCCTGTCTACCCAGCAGTAATTGGGAACATGGATGTTTATCGATTTGTGGATAGTGTTCCGGGGTAATGGCTAGCTAGTGCAGTTGGCGAGTTGTCCGGTCTTCTCGGATTATTCCTTGACACTGGGTCATGCAGCTTGTTAACTTAAGGTGTGGTTGTTGTGTTGGTGACAGCTTCTAGACCTTAAATAAATTCACGCCTAGGTAGCCCTAGGGCCGGCCACCCTCGTTACACGAGGGGCAACCATTATTATATTACACACTGTTGTCAGGTCCTAGGCATGTACAGACTCTTGAATGTACTATAACTGCCTGAGCATGTGCCAGTGTTCAGGTGCATGACTCCATTACTTTTTACTTTTATCTTCTTCACCACTGATCGGCTCGTTAACCACTTGGGCAGGTGGTCGCGTCTCCGTTACGCACTGTTGGCAAATAATGGGCATGCACTGGCTCCTGAATGTACCTGAACCTGCTCCAGTGTTGGTCAAGTCTGGTCTTGAAAGAACTCACACTCGGTGCTGTCACAACACTCTGGCAGATTGTTCCAATAGTTCACAATTCTCACTCCGAAAAAGTTTACCGTCACAGTTTTCTGGACGTGTGGTTTTTTCAACCTTGAGCTATGACCCCTTGTGGGTCAGTTCAGTGAAAGTGTTTTTATCTCACAGTGAAGGAGGCTGGGTTTGATACAAAACTAAAGTGACAGATGGGGTTCTCATCTTGTACACTTGTCCTCATATATTCACTAATAAATGAATACACTATTAGGTGCAGTGCATCATAATTCCGTGTCCAGTATTAAGCAACAAAAATTCCGTCACATTTGAAGTTATGAATAAATATACGGTACATGAATTACTCAAGGCACATTTTTTTGATACAGCACCACTCAAACTATGAAAAGTTTTCCTGTTCAGCTTGACTTTTTATGATACAATTTTTTCTCATTTCCTTAAAAAAAAGTAAACACATGACATTGGCCCATTGTGCACAGAGGTCAAGAACAAATCCATTTATATTAACATTATGTATAGTAAAATTTGACTCTCCTGTTGAATCTTCTCATTTTGGGATTTTGAATTAAATTTCTTTGTTAAGACTAGATGTTTCAAAACTACTGGTATTCATTTTATTTGTTTAATTAATCCTCAATATACTTTTGAGAACTTCCAGCTTAGATACTAATGTGTTATGTTCCTTAAACTGTTCATAGAAGTATAATGTAGTTCTTATTATTCACTCTTATATGACTGATAATTGTATGTCTTAGTAATGTTTTACCAACTTGCAGACCTATGGAGATGGCTATCGAGATGTCCAGTGCCCCAATATTGGTACAGGACACAGATGCCAACAACCACATGAACATAATCTCACTTAACTCAGAAGATGACTTCCCTCACGGCTCCTGGCTCGGTGACCCTTCACATCCCACACTGCGAGTCAGATGCCCAATAACACCCCAGTAAGTGTGTTGTGCTTTAATATAGTACTCAGTGTTGGCCACTCAGCTGATGCAGAGCTGTGGAGTGAAAACAAATCAATCAGTCATTTCTATACCTTGAATAATATTGTTCTATACAGTTAACTAAAGAAACAACATGGATAGGAATAAATAAATTTTGTCTCTAAACAAAACAAACTAACATAAGATATTCATAAAACACAGAAATTTAATAAATAGACCTGTAATTGAGGTAAATGGCTGAAGGTATTGATATGGATGGATAAGTCACTATTATGTGTGGTAAGTTCATTCTCTCAGGACTGGGAACACTAAAACTGACTGACTTCTCCCCCCAGGAACCTTCTCCATATCAACTCAACGTGTATCACTGCTGAGAAGATGGCTCTTACACTACTGGACTACCTCTTTACTAAGGAAGAATTAGCTACCTCGAACTTGTCAGGCAGAAGTAAGGCCTCACTTTCTTGTAGTAGTTTTATAATGGCAGCTACAGTGTTAGCCATAAAAATAACAATATCAGTAATAAGTCAATTAAAGGTTTATTGATTAAGGAAATTGATACAGTATAAAGCAATATATATATATATATATATATATATATATATATATATATATATATATATATATATATATATATATATATATATATATATATATATATATATATATATATATATATATATATATATATCATCTTGATTTATGATATATGATGATTAAACATGATAGATATTTGTGTGTTAAAAGTTTCTGTACAGTTGTTGTCTTTATATATCAGATTGCTTTATTTTCTTCGGTATGATAAGAGAGATTAATTTTTAGTTAAGGTACTTTTGCTGCTCATGCAGATTTTTTTTTAACAATGCCCCCTCCGAAATACAGGTAGGTGGAACAAACGACAGCTAGACCCACTGATGATCTTCGGAATACGTTGCCACCTCCAGTACAAATTCAACATCTCATCCAAGCTGTGGCACAAGATATGTCAAAACATGGACTCAAAGTGCCGCTCGGCCTGGAAACGGCGGATCAGAGGCATGGTCACTCAACCCCGAAACAGCAGAGTAAGAGCAGAAGAAATGTTGACGCTTGTTATGATCGCATCTTTATGTGTTCATTTATAACATGACAGATAAACCAGTTAGATATCATGGAGAGTACTTGTTGTCCTCCTCCTCCCCTATTTCATGTCACCTATCCAGTTATTCATGTCTCCCTCCTCCCCTCTATGTCGCCCAACCATCTATTTATGCTTCTCACTTCCCCTACTCTCATCTATCCACCCATTTGGGTCTTCCACTCCCTTATTCTTTCTCACCTAACTACCCATTCATGTCTCTATCCTCCCCTAATCTCACCTATTCATCCATTTTAATCCCCTCCCCTACTCTATGACACTTGCCCACCCATTAACACATCTTCTCACAATAAATCCCATCCTTTTAATTACTCAGGCAACACTATCCTCCAACTCCTTAAAGAAACTTACCCCATTCCCTCCTTCCTATCAATGCTTGGAGAATATATGACAGATTTTATTAATTGAATAACATAAGATAAACAATAAGAAGCTCACCCTGTGGTCTTCTACAGCAGGCGCCCCAGATCGGACATACCTCTTCAGTTCGGAAGGATCCTGCCGTCACAGAAGACATATCCTTTGACTTTGACTCTCTTCAGAACTCCAACCTGGACCTTAGTGATGTTAAGGTGAGACTTTATTGTTTATTATCAGCAATGTAATGTGTGCTTATTGTGCTTATATTTATAGGCAATGTCTGTGACTCCCCACTTCATTTTTAAAAGTAATATGATGATAAATATACTGTATAGGGAGTCCCCAGGTTATGAACTGGTTCCGTTCCTGAGGACGTTCTTAGGTCGGTTTGTACTTAAGTTGGAACACATGCTGTCTGCATACCATACTTACAGAACAATGTTTAAAATTCCACTATAAGTCCTTATGGACATTTAAAATCACTTAATTTAAGACAAAAGAAGAAATAGGATGACAAAATACAGTAAATAAAATTAAAAAATAAGTCATCAGGTAAATAAAATACTGCCAATTTCAAGTTAAACCCCGTTCGTATCGGTGGGCATTCGTAAGTCAAACGTTCGTAAGTCAGGCGCCCCCTGTACTGTGGTGTGTTGCTGGGTCACATTAAAAGATGACTTGCTAAGTGCAACTGACAAAGTATGTGACTAGACAAATAGTGGAGCCAAGTATGCAGTAATATGATGATGAAGTGAATAGAGTAATAAAGTAAGAAAGAACATAAGAACATAAGAATGGAGGAAACTGCAGCGGGCCTATTGGCCCATACTGGGCAGTCCCGTTTACACCCAACCCCTATTGCTCATATGAGCATCCAACCGATGTTTGAAGCAATTCAGCGTATTCGAGTTAATGATGATATTTGGTAACTTGTTCCATTCATCCACTACTCTGTTTCCAAACCAGTGTTTACCTATTTCACGCCTAAATCTAAATTTGTCTAATTTAAAACCATTGTTACGAGTTCGCTCCTGGTTGGATAATTTGAGTACCTTTGTAATGTCCCCTTTGTTTAGCCCTGCCTTCCACTTACACACCTCTATCAGGTCGCCCCTCGCTCGTCTCTCAAAGGGAGTGCAAATTAAGATGCTTTAACCTGTCTCTATACTCAAGGTTCCTAATGCCCGGGATTAGTCTTGTCATTCTCCTCTGAATTCTTTCCAAGGATTCTATATCCATTCTGTAATACGGTGACCAGAACTGAACTGCGTAATCCAGGTGTGGTCTCACAAGAGCAAGATACAGTTTTAGGATGACCTCGCTAGTCTTGTAACTAACACTCCTTTGTATGAACCCCAGTACTTTGTTAGCCTTGTTACGAGCAAAAACACATTGTTTACTTGGCTTAAGGTTCCTACTTATCATTACTCCTAAATCCCTCTCGCAGTCGGATTTCTCTATGGCATCGTTGTTCATCTGGTATCTGGTTTCCCTGTTTACATCTCCTATACTGAGTACTTTACATTTGTCAACGTTGAATTTCATCTGCCATTTTTCAGACCATTCGAAAAATTTGTTTAGATCTTCCTGTAGTTTTGCCGAGTCCTCGTCAGATTTGATAACACGTCCTATTTTAGTGTCATCAGCAAATTTACTTATGTTGCTGTCTATGCCGATATCTATGTCGTTTATGTATATAATAAACAATAATGGTCCAAGTACTGAGCCTTGGGGAACTCCTCTTGTGACGTTGCTCCAATGGGACTTAGTGCCGTTAATGCTCACTCGCTGTTTCCTGTCCTGTAACCACGCCCTAATCCATTTAAGGATGTCACCTTTGATGCCATGAGCTTCTACCTTTCTAATTAGTCTTTCGTGGGGGACTCTGTCGAAGGCTTTGCTAAAGTCGAGATATACCACATCATAATTGTGCCAAGTGTAGGGCCTGAAGAGAGGTTTACAAAGCTATGGTGGATGATCAAGTGCATTTATGGATAATGTGAATAGTGCAGATGTTAGAGGTGAGGTAAACAGAATAGCAAGGCAAATAGAAGGATGAAACATGGTCACAGTTGGTGAGCACTGTGTGAGAAAGAACAAAAAATTGGTTTATGATAATGTGGAAGTTCAAGCATGGGTGCCCTTTGAGGTAGTTTAGTGGACAGTGAGAAAGTTAAGGGTAGAGAAATATCTTTTATGATTGGTTATGGCATTATATGAAGGCTCAAGAACCTCTTGTGTGAGTAAATGGTGAGGAATTTGAGGTGAAAGCAGAAATACAGCAAGGTACTGTCTTGAGGCACCATCATGAGATTTTAGATTGAGAGTAAGGATCTTGGGGATAAGAATCCGAGTAGAGAGTTTACTAGAAATCATACATCTTTGAGAACTGCCAGCAAGTAATCATGACCAACCTGTGCAAGTGTGGAAAAGTCCCATAAGATGTTGTTGATGATGACATTACATTTCTCTTCCAGGTGATAACTCAATCCCCGACTTGTGAACTTCGAATATTGAGCGCCACCCCAGAGCAGATCTCCCACCTACAAGACACCCAAGAGATTATACTGTCGGAAGAGCAGATCCTCGCCCAGTCCTCGGTGAATATTACAGTACTGTATTCTGTTTAGCTTTCTGTTTTGTTATTATTATTTATTATTGGTTAAAGAAAAAATCATGTTCAAAGCAGCATACAGTAGTTCATTTAAGAGTTCATTTTGTCTTGAAACTAACTTACAACACAAATAATCACAGTTTCAGTCTATCTCTGTGGGTTTGACTCAGAGGCTCTTGTTGTAGCTGTCATCAGAGAGGGATATTTCTTTCACTAAACTTTTCTTTTTTACTCACCAGAATGAGAAGAACATCTTGATCAGTAACTCCTCAGCTGTGTCCATGAGCACTGAGGTTATGAGCGGGGAAGAGCTGGGCGAGGAGCTGGACATGCCCCACGACACGCCGCACTCCCCGCTCTCCGCCCAGACCTCGACTCTGGCCGCCATGGATGACCCGCACCATCGCATCACGCTCAAATCAGAACCCGAGTTGGAGATCTTAGACCAGCATGGGATATTGGCCAGAGACTCGGAGACAGACGATTGAATGATATCTGTTTGTTTTCATTCAATACAACAGATATAATCAATGATGGATGAATAAAAATAATTATGCAGATAATGGCAATAAATAATAATGACTGCCAGTTGTACAAGTAATTAGCCACCATAGTAGTACATTATTAGAGTAATTGTAAGAAATTATGAATACAACTAAAAGATTAGAATATTTGACATTATTTCCTGCTGAACGTTTATCTTAGTTCAATAAACAATAACACAGATCCCTTATAATGTTTGATGATTATTTTGATATTTGAATAATATTTTCCCTATTTTATGTTTTTTTGGGGAATCAATGTTCAGTACTACAAGAACAAATCACCAAGTTAGCCATAATAGAGAGGTCACTTCCCCAAAATCTAATGCCTATGTACAAATACAAGATGAATGTATGTTATGCACAAAATCTAAACCCAGCAGCCAAACACTTGGAAGATTACATTTAACTTTTATGCTGCGTAGAGATGAAAAAATATATCCATAACTATATATATATATTTTTTTTTTACTAGTGAGTTAGTTATACATACATAGAAATTTAAATAAAAAAATTCACTGCCATAGATCTGCCTTCTATGTCTCTTATCTAGTTTGAAATAGTTATGTATTTTATCCTGAAGTGTTGGATGAGAGTGTGGGGGCAATGATTCTCTTGCCTCTTCCATATTGTTATCCTCATGTTGAATAAATTAACTATAATAATTGGGCATTAGTTTTCATTCATGGAGTGTGTGTGATTACAATGAGATACAGTATGTTAAAATATAAGTCAATCTTTGCATAAAACATCTTTTCCATGGAGTTAATATATTATCAGTGACTACTTGCAAGTTTAGTATCAATATCTTCATACTGGTGGGAGGTGTAATCTGGTGCTCAAGAGAGTGCACAAATGACCAAGCAGAACCACGGGAACAATGGAGTGGCTCTATCAACCACCTAAGTTCCTCCTACTAGCCTCATGGCCTGGCAGATGCATCTCTCAGGGTACAATTTGAGTCTGGACCACTCCACCTAATGTTTATTAAAATGTAAAACTGTTCCTGTTATCAACGCAACCTGCGGCCAAAGACTGCAAGGGGTGAAATATCTGTCCATGGCCAGGAGTACCAGTTTGATGGCCACTCTTCAACTCATCCTCTTCCTGTGTTAAATTTTTGGCCCAATATGAAACCCCAAAGCAACATGACTTATATTCCCAAGAGGTGATCAGGTTTCCAGGCATGACAGCAATTGAGTGTGTATAAGAGCACAGTTCTATAAGTCACAAGGCAGAAATACTGTACATGCCATCAACAGATGCCAACTTTCACTTCATGTACAGTAATAAGATTGATTACAGTGCAAGTGACTGCCTCCTGGCTAGATTATGTTGCCAAGTAGGTATTTATCTTTCACTCACTCACACATGAGAGCCTCCCAGTCTCTTCTCAGTAGCTTTTCAGCTTTCTTCACGTAGACATCTCAGCTGTGGACTCACTTCACCATGTGTTTCTATCCCCCCAACCCCGAAGCATAAGTCTAGTACAGTATTGTGATCAATTACTGGAGCAGTAACAATGATTGTTAATATTGTAAATAGTAATAATATAGTAAAACAAATGTCCTGTACCTCACAATGTCTACAAATTAGTGTGTATACCACGTTACTACTGCGTTAAACACACCCACTACTTCAAGAACGTTCTCAACTCTTCCTAGCCCAGGTAAGGACAATTATTTATTTCTTGCTTATATCATGCTTGACCAGTAGGTAAGACTAGCATTACGTTTAATTTGTTTTTTTAAATATTCCCGAAATATACCTGCATTGGGGAGAGAGGGGTACCAACCATAGTCCAAAGCCCAGGAGTTAAAGGTTTTTCCAGGGGTTCAGAAGTAGCACATCACTGATATATAGTTTGACTCATAGACACAAATTAAAGTCTTCTCTACACATGCACACACAACAGGTATCATGCCAACTTTCAATCCATAAATTTGCCACTTTATCATACAAAAATAGGAAAACACTTGGCAAATACCAATTCATTATTAAGAAACAATGAGATTATTAAAACTTTTTGTATTTGCATTCACAAAATAAAATATTAATTGAAAAATTACAAAATCCGCGAGATATTTTTAACTTTACCAATGGCAGACTCCATTTTGAAAAAGAGAGAGACCATAAAACTACATTATACAGTATTAGCCTACAACCAGAGCAATGCAAAATCTTAACATACGTGCTTTATAAGAGAATAACAGGATAAAGAAATTGTGAAGGTGGCCTCCAACCCAGAATGAATAATTTTGCATTTTTCGTTAAACCCCAAAACTAAACCAACCATAAAATCGTAATTTAATTATGTTCATTAAATCCCACATATGTGAAAAATTTTCTTCTAGGAACTTTTCCAAATACCAAATTAAACATAATTAGACCAATATTCAGGGAGGTGTGGAGACTACCCCACAGCACTCCATTCTTTGAATATTAATGATATTGTTTTCAGGAATTCTTATAAAGGGGAGATTGTCCCAGACACGATCCAAGTGGCTCCAGAGCAACTTCTCTTCACTCTTCACGATCTCTTTCTAATTGCGTTCATTAAATGTGGCATAGGCAAAAACCATTTCTCCCCAGGCTTTTTTGCTCATAATGAATTCAGAGCAATTGGAGCAATATTAAGGAATTATAGCTACATTACTTTCCAGGAAGTGTCCATTCATAATATTGCTATTACCGGCACCAGAGTATTTTCTTATTGATTTAGGACGAAATTAATGTTCCCAATTTTCATTTCCATGTACTATACAGGATTGTTGATGTAATAGATTCTGTTTTGTAAATGCCTGGATGAACAAATGGTCCCCAGTGAATGGAAAGTGGCTTATGTGAGTCCTATCTTCAAGAAGGGCGATAGGCACTCCACGAACAACTATAGACCGGTGAGCCTGACCAGCATAATATGTAAAGTACTTGAGAGTATTATCAGAGATGCAGCGATGGAACATCTACTACGAAACAACCTTGTAAAAGATTGCCAACACGGTTTTATGCCGGGGCGCTCTTGCTTGACACAATTGCTCAAGGTATTGGATATTTGGACCCATATTCTAGAACGGGGTGGTAATATCGACAATATTTACCTAGATTTTGCCAAGGCTTTCGACAGTGTACCCCACGAAAGGCTGAAAATCAAACTGGAAGGGTACGGAATTCGGGGAAATGTCCTAGCGTGGATAGAAGACTTTCTACATGACCGCAAGCAATGTGTGGTGATTAATGGCACGAAATCGTCATCTGTACCTGTAACAAGTGGGGTACCGCAGGGTAGTGTATTGGGCCCGCTGTTGTTTGTTTGTTTCATAATGATATGCCTGACGTTGTACACTCCTCCATACAAATGTTTGCCGATGACGCCAAGTTATTTCGGGAAATTAAGAACCAAGCGGACTGTGAAGAGCTGCAGAAGGACCTCTGTGGGCTCCAGGAATGGTCGAAGGAATGGCTGCTGAGATTCAATGTCACGAAGTGTAAGAGGATGCACCTGGGGCGTACCAACGGTAAGGAGGCGTACCATATGTCCCAACGGGATGAAGAAAATGTACTAGTTGAGACTGTGTGTGAGAAGGACCTAGGTGTGTATGTTGACAATGAGCTGAAGTTCTCGGGCCATTGTGAGAAGAAGGTAAATCAGGCAAATAAATTATTGGGTCTTATAAGAAGGTCGTTCAGATATCTAGACGGTCCGTCCCTCGTGACGATCTTCAGGAGTGAAGTGCTTCCCCATCTGGAGTACTGTCACCCCATCTGGTCCCCGAGATATGCTAGGGACTGTCAGTTGGTTGAAAATGTTCAAAGGAGGGCCACCAAACTGGTGCCTGCACTTCGGCATCTCAGCTACCCTGAGAGATTGGAGCGCCTGAACTTGCCTAGCTTATACTACAGACGGGCAAGGGGGGACCTAGTTGAGGTTTATAAGCATCTCAGGGGGCACTACTCAGTTGAGTGTCCTTACTTGGAGCTGGCGGACGCTCGCCCCACAAGGGGTCACAGCTCAAGATTGAAGAAGCCGCAAGTCCGGAAAACCGTGAGGGCAAACTTTTTCGGAGTGAGGGTTGTAAACTCTTGGAACAATCTACCAGAGAGTGTTGTGACGGCACCGAGTGTGAGCTCTTTCAAGAGAAGACTTGACCAACACTGGAGCGGGTTCAGGTACATTCAGGAGCCGGTGCATGCCCAGTATTTGCCAACAGTGCGTGACAGAGACGTGACCGATCGCCCGGGCGGCTAGCGAGCCGACCTTTTGGTGAAGAATATAAAGGAAAAGAGACGTGACCGATCGCCCAAGCGGCTAACAAGCCGATCAGTGGCGAAGAGGATAAAAGTAAAAGTATTCTCCTAAAGAGTACTGAACGGTTGTTGTAAATCTATTTGTTTGCAGTTCTGAACGATCCTGGATTGTCCTTTTGTATTGACAAAATATATTTTCTCAAATGGATACATTAACGTCACTTTATGAGAATTACCACAAGGAATTTAAGACGGATTAGAGAAATATTAAGGAAGATATAGAGACTTTGCCCTTCAGCACTCTCTTCTATGAATGTGAATAATACCGTTGTTGGTAATTGTTCTAAAGTGATGTTTATTTTTTCATTTGATAGAATAATTATTGTCAACACATATGGACATCCCAAAAGTATGCCAGACACCTTCCATGTGTCTTTACAGGTACCGCTCATCATTCTTCAGGACGATATTCCAGCCAAAGTTTTACTACATCAGCAAACTCATATATTGAAATTAAATTTTGGGGAATTATTTACTTCCGAAAAAAAAAATTAACCCAGGGGCCGATAATAGCAACATTATGAGAGAAGACCAGGTCGGACCGACGCTGCCGTCACCAGCACCAAATACGTACACACTACCACACACATACACATACATCACCGTCTTCGCCCACCTCTAGACAATACTCTATTTTGCGCTCAACTCCAAATCTAAAGGTAAAATACAGTAATCGAAGGATTAAGTCGGACGTCGCCCCCACCACCACCTCACACGCGCACACACACAGCTACTTGTAGAGTCGAGACGAGTCTTAATTTTTCCTACACATCAAAATCTAAATCATGTATGGAATCGCGTCCCGATTGCGTTCATTCGATGCGGCGTATGCGAATAGCCTTTCTTTGGCAAAAGTTTCTTTGCTCAATATGAATTTCTTAGGGATTAGAGCAATATTAAGGGAGATATGGAGATTTTACCCTTCAGTAGTCTCCTCGTTGAATGTGAATAAATCCGTTGTTAGTAATTCTTCTAAATTGATTATTATTTGTCCATTTGATGGAATATATGTTATCAGCACAAAAGAATCATCCCAAAGCATCCCAGACACCCTCCAAGTGAAGTTACATGTACCTCTCATCACTCTTTAGGGCGATATTCGAGCCAAAGTTATACAATATCAGCAAAGTTATATATGGAAATTAAATTTGGGGGTATTATTTACTTCCGAAATCAATAAAATTTATCCCTGGGGCCGATAATAGCAATATTATGAGAGAAGACTTCCTGGAAAGAAATGTAGCCGTAATTCCTTTAATATTGCTCTAATCGCTCTGAAATTAATTATGAGCAAAGAAACGCGATTCCGTGGCTTGTTTAGATATTGATTTTGATGAAAAATGCAGAATTCGCGCGACCAG